CGGGGGTCAAAGGAGAACACAAAAGGTGCTTAAAAGTAAAGTTAAAGTGTTTTCTTCTTTCCAATCACATTCACTCTAACACACAGGAATCTTTATGTTTTATAAGAACCTGTCTCAGTTTACAAAAACAAGATGAGTTGGGGTTTTTTTTTTTCAGAGCATCTATTCTTATCATTTAAAGACGCGGGGTCCATGATCTTATGTCAATGGTCCACATCCCATGTGGAGCTCACAGGGGCAGCTAGGCCTACCTACTAAATATTAACTTCCAAGTTGGCTACTTTACCATTTGTACAAACTAACGATCTTTCTGAAATTAAAAAAAAAACACAACTTGATTTATGTGGGACTAATGCGCACACAGCTCTGGTAATGCATCCACCGGTTGGGAATAATGAAGAACATAACACTTAACAGAGTAAATTAATGGAATTACTGACAAAACTGCTCCAGTTAACGTTTTGGAAAAAGATGATTTCATTTTAGCAAGTCGTGAGCAACAGTGAAGCAGTATGTGGGGAGTGGAGTTGTTAAAACTGCTTTTTATGACTGGCAGACTGCATTGAGACTCAATCAGAGGGACTACAGAGGACGTGGAAATAAACACTAAACAGATCTGATAACAAAAAGATGGAAGAGAAAATAAATCTGACGGTTATCTACCAGGGTACTGCTATTGTGTTTCCTTCTTAGCTCTCTCTCCAAATGGGAAAACATTTATCTTGATTTAAGCCTAACAACAGTGGCTTGAACAAAAATTTTTTTTTTTTTTAAAAACCCCACACATCTATTAAAGTCTAGAAGCCTGAACCAAGTCTATTACCACTAAATAATAAGAACATTTACTCTCAGCCATTCAGGAGTTTCATCTTCAGCACTTACAAAAGTTTAAGCTCGGTCCTTTTGCTAATCATCCTTGCAATTACTCTTCTACATTGACACTCAGTAGACAGGCCTCCAGACACCCTTTCCTTTTTTTGTGACATTTATTACACCCCATACCATCCCTCTCCAAACCTCCTCGCTCTTTCTGCACTAGTCTGACTTGTCTCCATCGTCCCCTCTAGGTGCTCTCTCTGCGACATCTCTGGCCTTGTCCTCCTTCGCTACCGGGGGCTGGCCGTGGGAGTAGTTGGCCAGGATGGAGGAGAGGGACAGCAGGCCGGAGCTGGAGGAGACGGCGGGCAGAGTGGGTGGGGTGAGGCCCAGGGGAAGCGGGGCTACTGGCAAAGCCAGGCCCTGAAGCTGGGACAGGTGTTGCACCTGAAGCTGTTGCTGCAAAAACAACACATTAGATAATATAAGTTTACCATCTGTAAAAAAAAGAAGTGTGAACACTATAAAACTAGTGTGATTAGTTATCACACTTGCAGCACAAACTCCAAGCACGCAGGACTGTGGTGATCATTATGCTAAAGAAACCCAACGTGGCATTTTATCTCTGTTTCATATCTCTATTTCTCCAAATTTGCAGAAAGCAAACCACACCATTTATTCTCTTGCTATTAATACGGTTAAACAGAAGAGACACAAAAATAACAATGTGGTAAATGTTGTTCACACAGCCAATAGAAACCTGACAATTAGAAATAAGTGTTCACAGACAAATTTCCATCAATGAGGGAGCAAAACGGGCCCATCCCCAGTCAAAATGACCTAACCAGCATGCTACGAAGCAACATCTGGTGGACATTACAAATGACAAACTCACACGTATGATGGAGTTCATCTCAGGAGGTGTGACCTGCTTGGCTCTTTCAATAGCGCCCATGACTTGTTGTTGATGCTAAAACAAAGATCACAAGTTCAGAGACAAATAAGCACAAGAAAAGCTTCGACAAAAACAGATTTCCTCTTTAAAACAGAAAGTTGGAGTCAAAAACAAAGAAAAGAAAACTTTCTCATCAATATTATGAGAACATACACTCATCGACCACTTTGTTCCACACACTAGTTCAACTGCTTGCTAACACAACCAATCACAAGGCAGCATTGGGCATTTAGTTATGTAGACATGACCAAGACAACCTGCTCGAGTTCAAACTGAGCATCATTTAGAGGAAAAAAGGCGACTTAAGTCGTGATTGTCGGTCTGAGTATTTCAAAAACTGCTGATCTACTGGGATTCTCCCAAACAATCGTCTCTAGGGTTTACGGAGAATGGTGGGAAAAAGAGAAAATATCTAGTGAGCAGCAGTTCTCTGGGCCAAAATGCCTTGTTGATGCCAGAGAAGAATGACCAGACTGTTTCCAGATGGGTCCAATCTGGTACTCTCAACGTGTACCAAATAAAAGGGCCAGTGGGTGTAAAGTTTAAGTAAAAGGTGAATAATTACCTCCTGTGACAGGTAAGGCAGCACCTGAGCACAGATCCCATTTAGTCTCTTCACTATTTCAGCCTACAAAAGAAAAAGAAGAAAAACAAAAATGGTCAGACCAACACACAAAGAAAGCCGGGTTACTAGACGGATGGATGAATGAAGACGATGATTACCTGTTTGTGCATTTCAATGTTCAGCCCGTAGGACATTTCATAGTACTACAGTGCACAGAGGATGACAAGTAAAAGATTTAGAACACGCCTACACAAAGACACGCGCACACACAACAACCCTTTTTGATTAATTACTCTCTCTTTCATGTATGCATTTTATACTCTATTTTGAGATGTGTAGTCATTTTTTATCTGTGCCTCATCATGCAGTGAGTAAACCTGAGGATTTCTGCATATCTATTGCGACACTATGAGACTGTGGTGGGAGATTTAAAAACTAAATACGCAGCATACCACAGAAATGAGTTACCACACTTACCATGATATAGTGACGCTGCATCTCTGACTTTTCAGAAGCCAGCTTATCGCACTCCAGCTTCAAACTGGGTAAGAAGTGTAGAAATATAATATGAGAAAGAGCAGCTCGAAAGCAAATGTATGTATTCATCCTGTTTGGGGATAACTGCACTTTGGGGGAATTATACTAATTCCACAACTTGTCTTGTTTACTCTGAGCTAAGCTGACAGCCTGCTGGCTTAAGCTTCATGTTTAGAATACAGACATGAGAATTATATCAATCCTCTCATCTACTTTTCAGCAAAAAAAGGGCATTCAGGATTTACTGTAATATGAAACCATTTGTTTAAATAACCTTACAATAATAAAATGAACATTCCTTAAATATATTTATTTACCGGATACCCATATCTAGGACAAATTCATGTTGTTTCACCAAAATCTAGAAGGAGCAGCGGTTCTGAAAACAGAAGCATGCCTATAAAATGACAAAAATGACTTTGAGGATCGTTTGAGTGAAGAAAGTAAGTTCACTAAAAGCTGACTGACATTATGAAGTCCATTTCTGAATAATTAGCTGCCTTAAATGAGGCCATTTCACAAAAGACAGTAACAACAAAACACTGCAGGAAGAAAGTGTGTGACTTATATTAGAGATTAAATTAGGTGTGTATGGATGTGTTAAATGAATACCTGTGGTACTGTGCTTGGAGGAACTGGAACTCGTCCTTGATGCGGTCACAGGAATCAGAGGTGGTGAACTTGAGAGGTTGGCTGGACTGAGAGGATGCCTAAGAAACACAAGAAGGTGTCTGGTTGATTTTCAGCTTCGAGAAGGCGACTTAGAAATTCTAAGAAAAATCATCATCCTTTACATGAACATATGAGAGCTCCCTGCTGCAGAGCATGTGTGTTTTAATGAAGGTTTGTTTAGGTTTGTTTGAAAGCAGCAGTTTGACCTTGCAGATTAACCCTTTGAGAGGATAGCTAAAAGAAAGCTCAGACTCAGCTGTACGTCCTATGATGTACACATGTCTGTGTGCACATCATAAAATGAGATAAAGAAAGTAGCTGGGTGTTTGATTAACAGCACACAACTGTGAATTGTCTACAGACAGTCACAGCCGTCTTAAAGAAGATATGAAACATCTGTCTGAGCCACAAAGTGTGTTGATTGAGGAAATGTGTTTACAGAAGTGTGTCCATGCTGACCATATGTGAGAGGTATTTAGAGGCTGCATTAGAAGTCCGGTTATGTATAGACTACACTTAAACCAACAGTCCAAAGCTGTAATCCATGGTTTATCTGGTTCTCTAAACCTCATTACTCTCTAAATAAGTGGCACAAGAGCAAGAGGTTTCCAGCCGGATTATGGGATTGAAGAGAGAGGCCCGATGCAGCCGGTTACATGGAGATCACAGAAATCACAACTCTGCACGAATGCGACCAGTTTCAGGTGTGCAAAAATGAAGTGATGAAACTGGCTAGATCGGAAATGGGTGAACCTGCAGTAGCAATGAAACGATCAGCATTAGCTCAACCTGTAGACATGAAACAATAAGTCAATTCACTGATTGAGCTACATTTTTTTTAATTTGAAAAAAATGGAAAAGCTCCAAACGTATGAGAATGTGTAACGGTAATTGAAGGAATCGCTAGGCGGGTCTGGAGAAGTAAAACAGAAGCACAGCATGCAAGTTGTTCCATGGTCACGTTCAGAGAGGAAAGACATATGACACAGCCCACCCCCCTCAGAAAGAGGAACAGCAAAGAGCAGTCACATGTTGAAACTAGCCAACAATCATGCACATGTTCTTTTTTTGAACAGAACTTGGCATATAAACATGTATGAGGCTGTATGCCAGCTTTCTTAATTTGTACTTGTTTCACATTCACTAATAGCTATTGCTAACAGTGAAAGTAGACACATCTGTCTACATTTAATATACCATTAAAAATATAGTTGACTAAAATGATTTGAAACTAATTGAATTTAGATTTTGTTTAAACAAAAATGCCAGGCACACTCTGGTTTGAGTTTCTCCAGTATCTTTGTTTTTACATAAAATCTGCTCCTACCTGATTTTTTTTTTACAGTAACTTAAGCATATTTAATGAATTGGTGCATAATTTTACATTCATACTATGAATATTTTCAGACAATCGTGTACATGTACAATATCAAAGTACATAGAAGCATTCGAGCCCTGAGAACCTCCGAAGTACTCAGAAGCTTTGGAGCCTTCATTGCTTCTCTAAGAATTTCTCTTCTTCATAATGCCAAGCCCTTATCTTTCGACCTGCTTCTATCATCAGACTGTGAACAACAGCAATGACTGAAGATCTTAGTATCGGATACTTGTCATTTCTACAGGGCCAGGACAATGACTGGCACAGAATGTCTAGATGAATATCTTCATTCTCTTCTTTTCATATCTAAAACTGTGCATCATAATAGGCAGTGGTCACATACTGATCAGTGATACCTTTAACATTGCTGCTGTTTACGCAATAATGTTGCTCATGTGGACAATGGCTGTACATTCTTTTCAGCATTTCAGCTTTCATGTACTTCAGACGTTATGGGGGCTTAAAAGTGCCTTAAAAATTATAACTTATTTCAACCAATCTGTACGCACTTCGGGGGATTTAACTCAGAAAATATCGAGTATGAAAGTAAGATTTTCCATGGCTTCAATTGAGGTTATTGAACAAACACAGGCACACAAAATCAGCTGATCCTGAGGAGGGTCAGGTGGGACATATTTTTTGTAAGAGTCTGACTCTGCACAACAAGTAATGTGCCATTTGATCTAGAAAATAATCAGTACATTTGTAAATAATCACTTTTATGTACTCACACATTTATGCACTTATTGTTACACATTATTATACTAATACTAGCAATTGATCGTTTTAAATTAAAGTGTTAATTCCCCAAAGTCGCCAATAAACAAAGTCCTATAATAGTTAACAAATGTTCAGTGAAAACCTGCCCTATTTTCGCAACATTTAAAGTATATTTTCTCAAAATGAATGCATGCTTAAATGTGCGTTGTGGTTTGCTGCAAGTAGCAAAAGGGGTGTTAAAACCGTCTAAACAACGCACAACATCACTCCAACTTTCTCGGTCTGAAGAGAAGCTAGCTAACGATAGACTGTGTCTGCACATAAGTGAGCCGTATAGCTCGCCGTTTGTTCGAGGTAAAGAGCTAAGCTGCCACAGTGCCTGCACTGTGACGATGACAGCTACCTGCAGGAAGCAGCGATATGTATCAGCTGTGTGTTGCTAGCTAGCGTTAGCTCAGTTTCCACCCGGGGAGAAGTTCAACCGGCCAACTTACCGAGTGCCTCGATTGAGGAAACATCATGTCAGCAGTGTGTTTCGCCGCCTTTCCTCTGTCTAATCGAACTACCAGGCTAGCTGGCTAAGCTAACGTTTCCCCAGATGTTATTAAATGACTGGAGACGCTATTCGCACTTTGTACTCTGTCATCCTTTAAAATAACGTTAGCTAACGTCAAAGCAGCAGGAGCCTTAGGTCGTCTTCTAGTCTTTGAAGTAAAAAAAAACCCCGATACTTCCGAGGAGTAATTTGTTAACAAAAATAAAAGGTTCTTCAAAGCAACATCAGGCGTTTTTGAGTTTTGTTTTGCTTTTCTTTATTTGGAATAACGCTAATGCTATTCCTCCCCGGGGAAACCCTGGATGTTGACACATGAGCCCCTGACTTTCCTCGGCTTTGAAGAGAAGAGCAGCATCACGCGGAAAACAAAGTGAGCCGCGGAGGAGCGGGCGCCCCGTGTGACACAGAGCTGAACTGACCGGCTCGTGGCTGCAGCCAGGGCCGGAGACAGGGGGGCTGGGGCCGGAAAATAAGGTCTTAGACCCGGGACTGAATTACTAAAAGGGCTCCCAAAAAGTCACAATTTGTCTAGGTTTGTGTCAATAGATTTTTTTAATTAAATTATTTTTTAAAGAAACATTTGTGCTAAAATTTAGCATCTACAAAGTTGTTTTTTATTTCATCTGCAAAATGTACAGTACTATGCAAAGTCTTGATCCCATCTAACTCCTACGAGGATATATACATGTCAAACTGTGACATTTCTGGCATGCTTCATTCAACTAAAGGAATATGAACAAATTGTGTTTTTGTGACAGGCTGTGAGTAGCAAGTAAGTAGCAAGCAGAAACAGCTTACCACTTGGGGGCGCCAATCTCTACACAAGGTGAAATTGTTGAATTAGAAATTACTGAAATTGACATCATTGCCCAGCCTTGACAGACAAATGTTGTTCCAGAGTTTTTGCTCAATTTCATATTTCATACTACAGTGGTCTGATTTCATTCTTGGAAACTTTTAAAGGATGCCATTGTTGAATTATGCTAAAACGTTGTGCAATTATGAATGTGTAATAAAACAACATAACTGACTTTTTGGATCTTTGTGACTGACCTACTTCTGCTGATGACACACAGCACTGACCCTGCAGGATTCCCCCTGATATTGATGTGATTTGATTTGGGTCTGTTTTTTGGGAAGCTTAAACATGCGCATACCACCTGGTAGTGGGTGTGATGCTGACATTCGGACGACTAGCCGTTTAATTAGAACATGTACATATTTGGACTTTGTACTAGAAAAACATCCTTACTGAGGAGAGCTATGTGTAATGCTACGGCCTATGGCCTATGAATAAAAATGTCTGTATTCCTAAACAGTTTTACCGAGTGTCTTGAGTTAAAGTTGAAAGTTTCCACTTTAATCACATCTTGACTGTATGATCCACTTCGTTGGTGGTGTACAGGGGCAAAATTACAAATCATCTGCCACTGTTCAAATACCTAAGGACATAACTGTATTTAAAAAAAGGCTAAATGTTTTTCTGAAGATGGAATGAAGCCTTTGGTTTATATCTGCAGCAGCTTTACTGCGACTACAGGTGGAATCCCATTTATCCAACCTTCCTCCCATTGGTCCTCAGGATTTTAACACAAGTTCTATGGCTGCATGGACAGTCCCTCTGGAGGTTAGGAATGCGGCCTTCCACTGTGCACAGACTTCCTTAATATTACGCTGAACAGCTTTTGGCATCTTACAGTGAAATCAGAATATGACATAGGAAGGTTTTAAAAAGAAAAAAGAAAAAAAAGAAACCACAAAGGTTTTAAAATCTAGAAAAAAGTGAATGTGGTCATTTCACTGTCCAACATAAAATGTTCATTTTCATCCTAAAGAATAAATGAAGACATCTAAACTGGGATTTCTGCTACTACACTGTACAGGTTCCAGACTTAAATCGTATAGAAAATCTGTAGAGAGAGTTGAAGCATCAAGTTGCCTTACAGCAGCTAAGAAAGCTAAAGGATTTAGAGTTTTAGTAAAGTCTCTCAGGTTTGCACACATCTCTCTTGGGTGTTTGGAGGAAGAGCTCTCACCTGACATGTGTGCAAACCTGGTGAACAGCTACAAGAAAAGTCTTACCGCGGTACTTGTCAACAAGGGTTTTTCCACCAAGTACTAAGTTATGTTTTGCTTTTTTTTTTTCCCTGAAAATTTGTAGGCAACTAAAGCCACAACATTACTGTAACATCAGCCTGAATGATTTAACTTAGTGGTCACTGTTAGAATGTTACATTATTAGTTACATGTGACAAAGCCACTTTGCTGCCACAGTAACACACTTGGACATCACGAGGAAAATATTAATCAGCTGACCTGTCTAGTAGTAGTTGTGGTAAAAACACATTGCTTAAAGGCTTTTCCAAGCATGACATGGGTTTTCTCTTCTAAACCCTACATGTTAACATTGGGATGGTTTTCCTACAGGGAAGTCTTCATTTGAATCAGGCTGAACATCTATCTTCTTTATCATCATCGTCTTCTAGGGATGTACAGTCCCTAAAAACCTGTGACTGGTCAAAGACTCCAGGCAGGAAACCCATGTACCTATAATCCTGAGTAATAATCTGGGTTCAAGTTTGTGACACTCACCTTCTCACGATCCCATTTAACCTACATAGTCTTGTCTAACAAAGCCTAATATGCCCCCAAAAATTAAGTAAGGAAGAAAAACGAATCCAGGTCACGCTCTTTCAGATCTCAAATAAATACAGACTACCCCGGCTTTAATCATCAACTTGACATTACCAATCAGAATTCGATTTTTATTCAACTGAAGATATAAAACCCACGCAACACATCATCAGCAAGTATAGGAACAAATTTATTTCAATTTAAAACAGATACCTTGTCATTATGTTTCTCTCTTAGAAGGCGGCAATGATCATAAGTCATGTTCATGTTTGAATGAGGATCAGGCAACAGTGGTTGAAACAAATACATGAAACACACACAAAAAAAAAAAAAAAAAAAAAAAATATGGCAAGAGTTATGTAAATCAATAAATTGATAATAACCAACTGATTGAAACCCCTTCGTAAAAGGGCTCTGCTTCAGTGAAAACATCCAAGCCCTCACTTCCAACACAAAATAAACAGCACATGCAATTATAATTACAGTTTCTTAGAAAACAGCAGATTATCTCCTAAATCTTCGATCTTAAATACAGAATAAAGTCTTCGCGTGTACTTAAATCATGGATCCTTTTAGTCTCTGGTGTGTTTTATTTAAAAAGGGGGACCATCTCGGGTGGTGGCCCTTTTGATAAATGACCACAGCGTTGGCACTTGGAGAGAGAGCCTGGCTCTAGAGAGAGTGGGGTTGGCACACTCAGTATAATACATAATTTACATTTGGTTTACATAAAAAATAAAGAGAAAGAAAACAAACAAAACAGCATTTTATACACACACCACTACACAATTGACCTTCGGGTTTCACTTGAGTGAGGGAAATTAAATCAAGTGGTCCTAAAATAGTGTTCTGGTAATGTCTTATCATACAGAGAAAGAGGAAGAAAAAAAATAAATCACCAAAAAAAGAAGGGGAGGAAAAAAAAAAGGGAGGGGGAAACATTTGAGTATGCACCAACTTCACACTGATGTCCAAAAGATACGTTTGATGCCCTCTAGTCCAACAACGAGCCCATGGGAAGGGGGCGCCACACAACCCTGATCGCCCAAACGTGGCAAAAGGAAAACCGCACAGGGCCAGGTTTACCATCTCTTGTTAGTCAAGGCAATGAAAGGCAATAAATAAGTGTTGTAGTGAAAACAGTCCTTTTTTTTTTGTTTTGTTTTTTGTTTTAACAAGTTAATGCTAAAGACAGGATAATTATTTATCATAACAACTGCCTTCCCCCTTTCCCGCTCATATGTTGAGACAAAAATGTGTCACAAAAATAACATGCTGTGCAACGCTGGCCTGCTAACAAACCCACACCGACAGCCACGTGGCCCTTCACCATGTGCCAGAGTTGAAGAGTCAAGTTTGAAATGGTTCGTCACCAATAAAGCGAGCTGCACTCCACACACAGTAAATAATAACACAACTACTGATAAATACTTGGGGATTTATACAGATTTAGTCATCCCACTTCATTTCCTCCTTAAGACAGCAGACCAAATAGTTGGCTGTCACCACAAAAGCAGGGTCATTTTCAGCAGACAGAAATGGCCATTAAGAACCACACTGGTGTTTTTTCTTTAAATATATATGTATACATTAATGTTCAGACATTATTTCACCACTTAGCACTTTTGAAGCATACCTACATTTTAAGTTGAACTACTGACTTGTGCAGCCTTTGGTTTCCGCTCATTTAAAAGAAAAAAGAAAAAGAAAACAAACAAGTCACTTCAGAGAAACTAAATTTCCACAGACCTCTGCTCTTGGATAGTGGATGAGGATTTCAAGAAACTTAAATGTTAAGGGGCTTTAAAAAAAAAGTTCCCACTTCTCAGGGAATATTTAGTGTTGTCTATGTAATTACATGATAACGCAGCAGAGTCTGACAATGCGGAAAAGTTGCCCAAGTTTATGTGCCCAAGTCCATGATTTAAGAGGTAGCTATCACACGACAACAACAACAACAACAACTTCTACGCAAAGAAAGGCCGAATTCGGAGCAAATCAGACCCCTCTACTGGCTTCAGCTGACAGTAATGGCTGCCTAGAAAATCAACGTCTAAATGTGGACAGGTGAAAATATGCACACGCGCACACACACACACACACACAAAAAATTAAAAATAAATTCCTGGCTATCATCTATAGCTCAAATACTCTGGAAAACACACAATACTTGTCCTGGTAGTAGTGTCTTTACTGATAAGTGTTTCTATACTGCACAGGGTGTCACAGGTAACTCTGTGATACCAATGCAAACAAAACGTAGTGAAGATCAGGTTGGCCGTAGGGCCCGATACTTAAATGCATTAAGAAAACTGCTTAGTGGTGGTAAACTCTCTCTACACACACACAAACACCCTGCCTATACTTCTTAAAGCACATACTGCAAGTAATCTCCATTTATAAACACATTAGTATTGGATGACTTGGTTCACTGTGGTCCTGTACTCCACTCCCCACTGTCTGATGCCTTATGCACTGTGATAGCCCTTAATGAGGATGAAGGGTAAGTCACCTGTAGAAAAGGTCAAAGACACTGGAAGGAGAAGAGAAAAAAAAAAAAAAAAAAAAAAAAAAAA